GCCCGGCCAGCTGCTCCCGCCCGCCCCCTGGCGGCCCGGCCTCGGCCCTCCGGCCGCCGCTCGGAGTCCCACGAGTGTGGGGGTCTCGGGTGGGGACGGCGCGACCCGAGGGGGAGGCCGTGCGGGTGGCAGGCGCGTGTGGCGCTGTTCGATTCTTAGATTTCGGGAGGTTCTTGGCAGCCTTGACAGAGTGGGCGCGGAGTGTGGGAATTGGGCTGGGCCCGTCCCACCGTCCCACCGTCCGGTCCTTCTGTCTGTCTGTGTGGGAGGCGGAGAGGAAACCCGGGGCGCTGTAGACAGAGGAGGAGCCAAGTCGTGGGAAAAAGGTCAGAGGAAGGTAGTCGGTTCTAGGGGACAGGGCAGAATATAGATAAAGATACATAGTGGTCACAGTTCTTGAGACTTAAGATCCGCTTGTCAAAAGTTCTGGGGATGTCAGCGAGCGTTGGGGCTGCTTGTCACCTCTCTGCTTGTGTGTACCTGCTTTTTTACCCATAAACAAAAGTATGTAGAATTTTGGTTCAGGGTTTTCCCTTATTGGCGCTGAATTTTGTTTCTTCTCCAGACTGACCTACCACCTCTTTGTGCAGAGGACTTTGCCCTTGAGCTCGGACTCTGAATCCCATTCATTTATCTTTGGCCTCCTCCAACCCTGAAAATCAAGTCTGTGTCCTGACGCAGTGATTTCTCCAAGCGCCCATTTCATTTCAGCAGCTTAACTGGCTCAGGAGAATGAAGCAACTGGTATTTCCTGCCAGCCCAAAGCAGCGAAACGTTCAGTGTGATGTCTGTGTGGTTTCTTCCTTGTACGTACGTGGACTTGGTCATAATCCTAAATGTAAAGAAGAAATTGGAGATGGTTGATGGATTGCAGGGTGGGAAGGGAGATGCTGGTCTAACCCGCCTAGATTTAGAATCGCTCTTAGAATCACTTCATATGCAATCTCGCATCGCTCGTTTTCCAGCTTGCTGAAAAAACTTAGCTGTGTTTTAACGACCTTATAACCGAAGAGTTCAAATTTTCAGTAATTTAATTCCAGTGAGATTGCTTGCTATAATATATCTTTCTCAGGTTGTGCAGTTATCATGTGATGGTTTTACATTTTTCAGTTCGTCTCTTAGTTCTTTCAACACATTCTTACAAGTTGTGGACAGTTCCCAGCCCTGAGAGTCTCCCCTTCCAAGAAAAAAAAAAAAAAAAAAACTTCTGGTAAACGATGGCGGGGGAAAAAAAATTTTCAGTAATTTAATTCCAGTGAGATTGCTTGCTATAATATATCTTTCTCAGGTTGTGCAGTTATCATGTGATGGTTTTACATTTTTCAGTTCGTCTCTTAGTTCTTTCAACACATTCTTACAAGTTGTGGACAGTTCCCAGCCCTGAGAGTCTCCCCTTCCAAGAAAAAAAAAAAAAAAAAATCCTGTGGAGGTGGGGAGAAGAATCAAAATGATCTCATAAAGTTGTTGGGACATAATCACAATATATGCACTTAAGGTGAATAATGACCTCATGCGTAAGGATATACTGTCCTACTGGAATGTCAGGTCAGCATGGCGATCACTATTTTCTTCTGTGCCTTTTCTGTGCGTTGTGTAGGTGTTTCACCCTTGACAAACAATGTGATGAGGCAGATCTGTCGGCTAGGTGAACTCATCTATTGTGGGAATTAAAAAACAAGAACACTCCTTGAAGGTCAGGAAGTCCTACTTTGTTAGTTTTGTTTTGCATTTAAATATATCACTTTCCTCTCTCCTTTGCATGTATATGCCTCAATAGACTACTGTCCATAGCCCCAAATCTCCCAAATTTTCTGAGTTAACTAAAGTTGTCCTAATTACATGACTGAAACAACTCTTTTCAAAACTTTTCACACGTTTGTTTGAATCTTAAATGGCTTTGATTTTGTACCAGGAATCCTGGCTCATCATTTTTTTTTTTTAATGATTGCGAAAGGCTTTTATTGAATGTAATTATGCTTGAGAGTATAAGTAGTGCACGTATAGAGAAGAAAGCCAAACTATAAAGACATTAGTTTTTTGGTTTTTTTTTTTTCACCTTCACAACTGAACTTTTTATATGCTGTAAAGCAATGAAATGCCTATGCATTCATTCTATTTATTGTCTGCTAGGATTCTTTTAAAACAATACCTCAAAAACCTTGTTACTGTGTAAAAGCTACATTTGAAAGTTATTCTGGTATGTTTTAGGCAGGTCTTCAGGATAACACACCCCATTAGTATGGACATGTAGACTTTTAGACTTGGAATTGACTGTAAAGACTACCTTTTTCATGAACTCTTAACAAGTGGAAATTGAGTTCAAGAGAACTGAAGTAATTCACCCCAGGTTAGTGGGTGGGTTAATGGCACATCTGGTCCTGGAATCCAAGCCTTCTGATTGGCTCCCTTAGGAGGATGTGGAAATGGGACAGAAAGTTTAGATACATTCCATAAACAGCCCCAAGGATAACGATGACCGTTAATTTTGTCCTTCTTGTCAGATAAGCCTTTTAATGAGTCTCCCAAGGAACAAATAACAGAATCGAGCAGCTTACCAAAAGCCGTAGGGCAGTAAGAGACTGCATATTTCATTGGCTGATGGGTCTCTACCATAGTAAAGGATGTCAAGTGAAACAATTTTAAAAACATATAGACTGTCTTTGCAATACAGAAATGGTGGTTTAGTCCTGTGCACCAGCCCTTCGGCCTCAATGACTCTGGGAAGAATATCAACGAGTTTGCCATTCCTCAAACCTCACGGGTAGAAAGTCATCCAAAATAATTTTTTTGTCATAAATTGGGGAGTGTGCACATTACTATTCTCCTGCTATCTGTTGGAGACTTCCCTAATGCTTTTCCTGACACCCACAAGTTGGGGCTTCCACGGCATCCAGTGTGAGCATCAGCATATACCTCTATCACTGCATGTACTGGGGGGACTGAAACTGTGTATCTGCTGGTCCCCTCTCCCAGATAGCAAGCTCCTTGTGGTCGAAGATGGCCACATCTTTGTTCTAGAGCTTAGAACAGTGCCTGAAATGTGATAGCTCAACAGATATTTCATATTTAGTTTCTTAGTGTTTATTTCAGGAAGAATAACTACAAAGACTTCAGGGAGGAAGCATTGTGTTGACTGCTACAGATCTAAGTGAGCAAGACAATTACTTTAAAAACAAGTGGAAATGTAAACTTTCTACCTTTTTAAAGTTTTGTGCTTAACTGCCAATCTCTGCTCCTTTCTGTAGAAGCCAAACTTCATTAATTTGCTTACAAAATAAGTTCTCATTGAAACAGTGACAGCCAGAAATACGAATAGTTACCTCTTGGCTCTATAAACAATCAAAACAGACTTTGCTATGCAGAAATGAATAAATCAGAGATCAACTCATCCTAATAGTCCTGTTTCATTTTTTAAGTCCTGCGTGATTCATTTCTTTTTCTTAAAACATCTTTATTGAGATAAAATTCACACACCATACAGTTCACCCATTTAAAGTGTACAATTCAGTGTTTTTTAGTATATGCACAGAGTTGTGCAACCATCACCACAGTCAATTTTAGAACATTTTCATCATCCCAAAAGAAACCTCATACTCGTTAGCAGTCATTCCCCATTTTCTTTCAACCCTCCCACCCCTCGGCAACCACTAATCTACTTTCTGTCTATAGATTTGACTATTGTGGACGTTCCATACAAATGGAGTCATACAATATGTGGTCTTTGTGACTGGCTTCTTTGATTTAGCACAGTGTTTTCAAAGTTCTTGATTTGTTTCTTTTTATAATAATTACAACACTCTACCTATGTAGTACTTTTATGATTGAAAAAGTATCTTTCATATTATTATTTGATTCAAAAACCTTGTGAGATAGGAAGGTCAGGTGGTATTATACACATTTTACAGGTGAGGAAACGGAAATTCTGGAACTAGTAAGAGGCATACATAAGACAGACTGAGTCTTCTGATTTCTCATCCAAAACTCTTTTCACTTCACCTTAAAATACTTCCTGGGTGAATATGAAATGTAATTATTGAAAGAGAATAAGAAAAGATGATTTGCTGCCCTTTGTTTTTTTTAAAAAAAATAGTTCTAAAAAAAAAGCAGATCCCCTCTCCCCTTAGATTCCTGAAGTATTCCAAGTTGAGGGAGATTTGCCATGTTGCACAGCTATAGGGGGCATCATTTACACTAATAGGTTATGTTGATGGCACACCCATGGAGTTGGTGTGGTGCTCAGCCTGTACATGATAGCCTTGGTACACGGTATGTCATTTTTATAGGTGGGAAAAATGTTGTTCAAGAGAGCTGGTTGGCAGAAAGATTGTATGGTCACTGTCTTTGCATAAATAGGTATGAGAATTTGGCAGGCACAGTAGGCTAATACTTCTAAATTGTGTTCCAGGTGTTGAGAGGTACAGTGTCCTGCCCCCAACAGACTGTCCCCTGACCTAACCAGAAGGCTGGTTGATCCTGATGTCTAAATATCTTTGATTCTTCCTCAAAGTGAGCCTTCTATGCAAGGTACTTGTCAGGGTTGTAAATACAGAATAGAGACTTCACTGCACTTCTAAGAACAGGTCATGTGGCTGTTTTCACTTCTGCCTGTTCATGTTTGTATATCTGGTAAAAATTGGCATGAGGCTTGCTTTCATTGAAACATACCACATACTAGAGAGGATGTTGAAGGCGTGTGGTTTCCATCCATCTCTAATTCCAGGGGTGTTCCTAAATGTATTAACAAAAACTGACAGTAGCTGAGTGGTCAAATCACATCAGGTTAAGGAGGTCATGTGAGATAAAAGCAGGGTTTCCCATACTTGCCAGATCTTAAGAACTGCCTGGAACTTTTGTTGAAATTAGAGGTTCCCAGACCCCTCCAAAGTTCTATTGTTCCAGAGTCTCCAGTATATTTAAGAAGTGCCACAGTGTTTTTTGAGCAGGTAGATTTGAGAAGCACTGGATAAACAACAGGAAAGCTCATGGACTGGGAACTGGGAGACTCAAGTTTGGCTTCACCTCTGCCATTTTCTAACAGGTTTGGAACAATTTATTCAACATCTCTAGGCCTTAGTTTTCTGTAAAATAGAAACTTTGACTAAAATAATCTCTGTCGACCTTTCCAATTTTGGCATTTTGTGATTCTACTGAGGGATTTTAAAGTATATACTTATTTTTAAATTGGCAAATAAAAAGTCTGTATATTTATGATATGCAACTGATGTTTTGATATGTGTATATACATTGTGAATGGCTAAATCAAGCTAATTAACATATGCATTTACCTCACGTATTTTTTTTGTGTGTGTGATAAGAACACTTAAAATCTACTCTCTAAGCAATTTTCAAGTATACAGTACATTGTTATTAACTGTAGTCATCACATTGTACAGTAGATCTCTTGAACTTATTCCTCCTAACAGAAATTTTATATCCTTTGACCAATATATTCCCAATACCCCCCTACTCCAGCCCCTGGTAACCACCATTCTACTGTCTGCTTCTGTGAATTTGACTTTTACTATTTGATAATAGCAGCTTAGATGAACTTGTAAAACAACTTTGATCAATAAACCCTCTGATTCTTATGATGAGGGATTTAAAAACATCTTTGTGTCTGAGATAAATTCTTCATGACTGTAAGAACTCTTCCAACTAATATTTTACACACACAGAGTACATGGATCTTCATGTGTTGAGGGGTGAGTCATTTTCCAAACAGATCAGGCAGGTACTTGTTTTAAATTGTGTATATTCTGCCCACCGTGCATTCATAGCTTCCTCCTCATCTTTTAAAAAGTGCTAATGTCATTATGGAAAGAGAATTGTGTTTAAATGCCATATGTTCAGATTTCTAAGAAAGAGTTATTTTTTTAAATTATGAGGGTGTATCCTTTAATCCAAAACATCAAGCTACTCATTGACTCTTGTGTATTAGGAATATAAGGACCCGATTTAAAAAGCTACCTACATTTAGGTTGAAATTATTTATCCATCAATAATCTAATTTTCCTCTATATTAGAGAAAAAACCAATATTAAAATTTCAGTAGTATGTATTGTTTTAGGATTGGGACTAGCAAATGAAAAAAAATTAAATAATTAAAGAGAAATATTTGAGTTTCTAAATATTTTGGAAGAAAATTTGGAAACAAAAAATAATGCAATGCTTTCCTCTGGCTGTCATTTTAATATCTTAAAACAATCAATTTTGAAGTCTAAAATAAAATGGCTTGAACCTAACTAGGTACCTACTAACTTAATTGTTTAACTTGGTTTCATCTCAAATTGGTTTATATCCTGGAATGAATTAATTCTGCAGGAATTGAAGTTCACAATCAGCAGGATTGGTGCTGCTGGTCATATTGATTCCGTGTGTTTGTTATATTTGTGGTCTGCATTTCTCAAAGTACGGACTTTAGCAGTACATTGGATAAATGTAGCAGAACTGGAGCTTTGGTCTTTGAAGGAGGAACTCTTGAGGAAAAGTCCTGGAGGTCCCAACCTTCATTCCCTTTCCTCTGGATAAATGACATCTGTGAAAGCCTTTGCCATCACTCAAAGAAGAATGTCGTTACTGGTATCAATATCTAGGCAGGAGCACAATTCCGATTTCTGATGTCAGACTATTTTGCTGGATGACTTTGGCAGCGGATGTTGTAGCATTTGCCATAAACCAGACATTTTAATTTGTGTAACAGCTTAATGAGATGATACTGTTGTTTATTCTGTATGACACCTGATACAGCTAAGGCACAAATGATTTGTTTGCTTACATTCACAGCTAGTAGGTGATGGAACGGGGCTTTGAACCCAGGCAGGGTTGTTTCCAGAGTTAGCCTGTCCCTAACATTGTGTGGTACTGTCTCTGTATTACCTGATCTAACTTCAAATTTTGACATTCCTGTACTCAGATGAGAAAAACTGATGCCAAAAAGATATGGTGAAGCCGGTCATATCTGAGGTTAAAAAAAAAAAAAAAAAAAACCCAAACAAAAATCACGATGTCTTTTGAGCTTTTCCTTCTTTGTTTTGAAACCACTCAAACTACTAGCAGATGGCCAAGTAATCTGATACAGGCATCTAAAGTACTTAGCACAGTGCCTGGCACATTAGCTAATATCTGTTTAGCTAACAACACATCTGCTTGTGTTGTTTTGATGACAATGAAGGGCTGAGTTAACGTCTGTGTGTACGTTTATGTCCCTATCACCACAGAGAGCCCAGTCCATGGAAGGCAGTGCCTCTGAGAGGCCTGGTACCACATCCAGAGGAGAGCTGGTGTCAGAGATAAACATGAAAAACACTTCTGATTGGAACACCAGAGAGTTCTGCAGAAGGATCTGAAAGTATATGTAGTTCCCAACAGGAACGTGTGAAGGGCTGTTGCTTTCTCTGCCTCACAGGGGCTTGGCTTGGGGGTTGGGGACTTGGGTCACCAGCCCTTCTCCTGGCATCTTTATATAGATGTTCTCTTTCTTTCTCAGAGCCTTTTCACCTGCATTTCCTCAAATTGTGGGAAGTGGAGAGCCAGCTCAGCCCCCATTTAGCTTCCTAGCAATGGCAGAGCTGTCCTTTTTTGCTTCGCTCATCTGGGGGGCTCCCTGAGCCTCCACCCAAACCTGATTTCATGGTCCCACTCAGAACTTGAAGGGCTTCACTCAGACCTCAGCTTTGCTTGGGCATCTTGGAACTCATAGCAACTGTTAGCACCACTTCATTCATCTCCGGGTTTCCCACACTTTCTGAATCATCTGATTCACTGGGGGTTTGGTTAAAAACAGATTCCCAGACCCCGCCCCTGGGGATTCTGAATCATCATGTCTGGGGTGAGGCCAGGAACATGCTTTGCTAATAAGTACCCCCAGGTGATTCTGATGAACCAAGTTCTGGAAACACCAGTTGTTGTGTGTTAGGAATCTTGTCCATTCAGGGTGGCAGGACATTCATCCATTCATGCTGTATATTTTGAGTTATTCTGCTAGTGCTCAGTTGTGAGGATTACAAAATGAGTAAGACAGGGCCCTTCCTCCAAGTACTGCACTTGATACTTGATGGTTTTGTGGGATGATTAAATATACAATTAAATAATAACGAGTTGAATGAACCATTATTTATAACATTTCTAGGAAAAAATCTGTTCTGAATTCCAAATTGCCAATTTAAATTGGATTTTTAGAAGGTATTTAACTTAGAAGACATGCTTGTAAGTTTGTGGGATGGTGGCCCTCCCACACATAGAAAATAATGACTTTAAATGTTTATAGCATATTTTGTGTAAAAATTATATTCTAAAAAATATATATAAACCCTCTGGAATAAGATTTATTTATTTATTTTCCTGTGGGATGGTGGAGATTTTCTTCTGTTAATACTGCTTTATTTTCACTAACTTCTGATTTGTCTCAGAAGAAATTTCCACGCATGTAGGAAAGCAATATTTTGCTTTGGAAGGATAGACAAATGTTTCAGAATATTCCTGCAGGGAAATCCTTTATTATACTTTTCTCTACGTTTTCCCCCCTTCTGATTAAAAGCTGGTAAAGGCATTATCAGTAACATTCAGAGGACTGTGTAGTAAGTGGCTGATTGAAACTGCAATAACACATGGTAAATATAATGAGGCCTTTCCGTATGACAATATTAGACATCTGATAAAATGTTCTGAGGACTCAGAGGCCACAATGTGTGGCAAAGGAAACTGAATTATGCAGGGCTAGGCTACGCTCTGCATAATCAAGTCACGCCTGATTATGTGGGTATCTGAGGACTGCTGTTGAGATGCCCTGCAGTTTCCCAGCTGATGGTCTGGCTGCCAGGACCACCATCCAGGCAAGGGCACTAGCCTGCATTTCTCAGGGTATTCCAGTTGTACTAATTAGCTCACTGGTGGTGTCTGAGAGCTCCATGCAGCTTAACTACATAGCCTGTGTTCTTGACTTCTCCATTACATGAGGGCTAAGGTTGGTGGGGAACTGTGATGCAACCCAAATAATCTTAGCATAAATTTTCATTTAATTTATTGAGTAGGCAATACTTTTACACTGTTCAAAAATATATCTGTATGCAAAAGCTATGTAGTGAAAAGTCTCAGTCAGGCTTCTGTCCTCCCCTCCTCCTACCAGACAACCACTTTTATTAGTATTCTTCTAATGTTTCTTTATGTATAGAAATATTATGTTATTTTCCATACATATGATTTCTGGATTATCCTGTTGCTCTTCTTCATTTGTATCCATGTATATAATTTAAAGTATTATTTTCATTATTGGTCTGTATGTTTTCTGTTTGGTTGCCTTTTTATTTGTGAAATCCCAGTTGCTTTTTGTTGTTGTTAGAGAAGGCAATTGATTTGGGAAAAATAAGGTTAATTAACATTGGAATACATTGTTAAACTCTTTTTCTTAAACTTTTTTATTACTAATGATTTGATTTTTAGGTATTTTAAATATGAGCTTCCCACGAGATGATTAAGCTTTTCCTGTTTTAAGAAAGGAAAAGGGAGGAAGGACTTCTGTTAAATGTCTATAACACAGTAAGTTGAGTTTATTTAAAAGATTTAAAAGTAGGCATCTTCTGCCTTTTATCTGGATAACTGCATTCCAAATATGAATTACTTCCTGACCTGGGAGGTGGGTATTAGTATCTAGCACTGTGTTTGAATTTTAGTCTGGAATGTTTTACTCTGAGATGGTGACTTTGCTGCTAAATAAACACATTTGATTATGAAGTCTGCTGGGTTGGTTATAACTACTGGACTACAGTGTACTAGGTTGTGCTATGACAGTGTAGAGTGACACTGACAGACATTTGAAGGAAGCAACTGTGGGCATTGGAGTTATTTTTCCCTGGTTGTTAATGATCATAAGGTTTGTGCTGAATGAGTACATGACTAATTAAAGCATTATTTATGAGAGTAGACTCAAAAAATAATCATTACATTGCGTGTAAGTTTTGTGTAAATAAAAGTACACTATAAAAAGTTTTCAGTCTTACAAGATATGTCATAAAATATTTCTGATTACAAGATTAATGTCCA